AAACTGGAAATTGTTTTTTTGTTTGCTTGCTTGCTTGTTTTAGGAAAAAAAATGAAAAGAAGGAAAATTATATGAAACAATAAGAGGGTGTTGGCTGTTTTCATCCTCTTGCCTACCATAAAGCTGTACCATTTATTATTATGGTCCCAGCTCCTTGCCAGGAGCTGGGAGAAATTATGCTTGGTCTGATCAAGGAATGATGATGTCAGAGTTGACTCCCCAGGCCTGTGTTCACAAGCACATACGTGCACACATATGCCTCTGCTTTGCGTGCAGGACCTTGGGTCGACTGTATTTGTTGCTTTAACTAGTCTTCCTCAACACTGAGGGCAGACTTTGAGCTGTTCAGGACACTGGTTGGAAGAGTCCCTTGGGAGGTGGTTCTGAAGGGCAGAGGAGTCCAAGAAGACTGGGCACTCCTCAAGAAGGAAATCTTAATAGCTCAGGAGTGGTCTGTCACCATGTGCCCAAAGACGAGCCGGTGTGGAAGACCGGCCTGGCGGAACACAGAGTTGTAGCTATGGCTTAGGAAAGAAAAAAGGGTTCATGATCTTTGGAAAATAGGGCAGGCCACTCAGAAGGATTATAAGGATGTTGTAAGGATGTGTAGGGACAGAATTAGAAAGGCCAAAGCTCATCTGGAGCTCAAACTGGCTACTGGCATTGAAGATAAAAAAAAAAAAAAATGTTTTTATAAATATATTAACACAAAAAGGAGGACTAAGGAGAATCCCCATCCTTTACTGGATGTGGGGGAAACTTAGTTACAAGGGACAAGGAAAAGACTGAGGTGCTTAATGCCTTCTTTGCCTCAGTCTTTAGTGGCAAGAGCAGTTGTTCTCTAGATACCCAGTTCCCTGAGCTGGTGGAAGGGAATGGGGGGGCAGAATGTGGTCCTCACAATCCACAAGAAAATGCTTGGTGACCTGCTACAGCACTTAGATGTATGCAACTTAATGAGGCTGAATGGAATACACCCAAGGGTACTGAGAGAACCGGCAGAAGAGCTGGCCAAGCTGCTTTCCATCATTTATCAGCACTCCTGGCTATCAGGGGAGGTCCCAGTCGACTGGCAGCTAGCAAACATGACGTCCATCTAGAAGACGGGCCAGAGGGTAGACCCAGGGAACTATAGGCCTGTCAGTTTGACCACAGTGCCAGGGAAGCTCATGGAGCAGATTATCCTGAGTGTCATCATGCTTACAAAGCACTTACAGGGCAACCAGGCAATCAACCCCAGTCTGGGTTTATGAAAGGCAGGTCCTGCTTGATGAACCTGATCTCCTATGACAAAGTGACGTGCTTGGTGGATGAGGGAAAGGCTGTGGATGTGGTCTACCTTGACTTCAGCAAGGCTTTTGACACTGTTTCCCACAACATTCTCCTCAAGATACTGGCTGCTTGTGGCTTGGACTGGCGTACGCTTCTTTGGGTTAAAAGCTGGCTGGATAGCCGGGCCCAAAGAGTTGTGGTGAATGGAGTTAAATCCAGCTGGAGGCCGGTCACTAGTGGCATCCCCCAGGGCTCAGTACTGGGGCCGGTCCTCTTTAATATCTTCATCGATGATCTGGATGATCTGGAATCGAGTGCACCCTCAGGAAGTTTGCAGACAACACCAAGTTAGGTGCATGTGTCGATCTGCTCGAGGGTAGGAAGGCTCTGCAGGAGGATCTGGATAGGCTGCACCGATGGGCTGAGGTCAACTGCATGAAGTTCAACAAGGCCAAGTGCCGGGTCCTGCACCTGGGGTGCAATAACCCCAAGCAGAGCTACAGGCTGGGACATGAGTGGTTGGAGAGCTGCCTGGCAGAGAAGGACCTGGGAGTATCGGTTGATAGTCGGCTGAATATGAGCCAGCAGTGTGCTCAGGTGGCCAAGAAGGCCAACAGCATCCTGGCTTCTATCAGAAGCAGTGTGGCCAGCAGCGCTAGGGAGGTGATCGTCCCCCTGTACTCGGCTCTGGTGAGGCCACACCTCGAGGATTTTTTTCAGTTTTGGGCCCCTCACTACAAGAAGGACATCGAGGTGCTCGAGCAAGTCCAGAGAAGGGCAATGAAGATGGTGAGGGGTCTGGAGAACAAATGTTATGAGGAACAGCTGAAGGAGCTGGGCTTGTTCAGCCTGGAGAAGAGAAGGCTCAGGAGCAACATTATTGCTCTCTACAGGTACATTAAAGGAGGCTGTAGCGAGGTAGCAGTTGGTCTATTCTCCCACATGCCTGGTGACAGGATGAGAGGGAATGGGCTAAAGTTGCACCAGGGGAGGTTTAGGTTGGATGTTAGGATTTACTGAAAGGGTTGTTAGGCGCTGGAATAGGCTGCCCAGGGAAGTGGTTGAGTCACCATCCCTGGAGGTTTTTAAAAGATGTTTAGATGTACAGCTTAATGTTATGTTTTAGTGGAGGACTGGTTAATGTTAGGTCAGAGGTTGGACTAGGTGATCTTGGAGGTCTCTTCCAATCTAGACCATCTGTGATTCTGTGGTTCTGTAACATGAATGAGCATTACAAAGATGATATGTTCTTCATGTCATTTGTACCACTTTTCCAGTGCAGACAGGAAAACAAGGAACTAGCAACATTGTCAATAAATGCAATTCAAGTTAGGTAGTATGAAAACTTTGTTGTTGCTGTTGTTGTTTTGGTGGAATTCTTGTTTGTTTGTTTGCTTTTTCTGGAATGGGCTATGAATGTTGTGCTTATGCAAATATTTGACTTTGCTTTCTATAAAAACAACATGGAAAAATTTTCATTAACTTTATGAACCCATTTAGTTATGAAGTAAGTTATAACTGGTGAAAAGGGTAATTTGAGCTTGTTTGCAGTTCACAACAAACCTACAAGGATTAAAAAACAAAACAAAACAAAACTATCAAAATGAAAGCAGAATGTTTGGTTAATGTCACTGCATCAACATTACAAGCTCTTATTTTTTCATCAGACTGAGGTATGACACTGTCACCTAGCAACTTTTCAAAGGCATTTAGATTTGATGGTGCTGACCTCTACAGAGAAGTCTATAAATAAATTAATTTATAAATTAGTACTGTTTATAAGTGTCAAAAGCATCATATTTGACATTAAGAAATTAACACTATATAGAAGGAAAATAATTCTCATCCTGGCTGTTATATGTTGCGAGGATTTAAGCTGTCACGAAATACTGTAACCCTTGGAAGCAATGGTGTGCATTTCCACTATCTTTGCTTTTGAATATATACATACATACATGTAAGATTAATATACATATATGTATGAGTTTATACATATTTATCTATGTATATGTTATACTTTCATACTATTATACTATTATTATACTTTTTGGTAAGTTCCATGTTTTTCTAGTTTTTTACGTTAACAGAGAGGAAAGATTCCTATATTATGTTTCACCCATACTATTTAATGTTTCTTAGTATGTACAACTCCTTATTCTTCAGTAAGTTCACCTGCCCTGCTCTGCCAGACCACCTGTAGCCTGAGGCATGAAGCTGCATGGTGCACCATAATCTGCCTTAATTCTGACTCTACTGCCTGCGCCCAAGAGCTGTGTGATGTATTGTGAGTTAAGACAGTCACAAAAACATTAAAGTATATCCTTTTATTTGAGCTGCTTTGCCATAAACTCTCAATTCAGCCAGAGGAGCTGGATTCTACTTCTCTTTCATTCTTTTTCTGACATCATTCTACACCAAAACTCCATTATACTTCTGTGAATGCTGACCACAGTCCCTAATTCCAGCTGTAGCCACAAGCAGCAGTATGCATCTTCCTACAAACAGTTCCATTTCTCTAGTGTTGAAATGCAGTAACTTCATATTGAAATACTGCTGCCAAAGTGCCTGGATGGAGCATATCTTTCTCTGTACATGGAAGAGCTTAACCAGAATTAATAGGAAGGATGGTCAGCAAAACTTAGTCTAATTTCAGCTAATGCATTGTCTGTGGGCAGCATCATGTCAATCAGCCAGTGCCTTTGGTGTATACATTAAAATTAGGAAAAACCAAAATACTAAAAGCTAAATTAGACCTAATAATTTATAAGGAAGAGTCTTGAGCAGTCCAACCTCACAGAAGGAGGCCTAGGCCCTCCATGGCACAGCTGAAAATAGTGTCCCTTGCAGTGGTTTTCTAGGTTGTATTTGACTTCATAGAATAGAATATCCCAAGCTGGAAGGGACCCACAAGGATCATGGAGTCCTACTCTCGGCTCCACAGAGCACTACCTAAAAATCAACCGTATTTCTGATTTCTGATAGCACTGTCCAAACAGTTCTTGAAGTCCAGCAGGCTTGGTGCTGTGACAACAGCCACAGGGAGTCTGTTGCAGTGCCCGACAACCCTCTCAGTGCTTTTTCTAACACCCAGCCTGACGCTCCCCTGTCCCAGCTCCATGCCGTTCCCTCGGGTCCTGTCGCTGTCCCCAGAGAGCAGAGCTCAGCGCCTGCCCCTCCGCTCCCCTGTGAGGGAGCTGCAGGCCGCCATGAGGCCTCCCCTCGGCCTGCTCTGCTCTGGGCCAAACAAATCAAGGGACCTCAGCCGCTCCTCATATGCTTTCCCCTCCAGACCCTTCACCACCTTTGAATGCTCTCTAATAGTTTTATAGTTCTATGCTGTGGTGCCCAAAACTGCACACAGTACTCGAGGTGAGGCTGCACCAGCATGGGACAATCCCTTCCCTCAACAGGCTAGCAATGCCATTCTTGATGCACCCCAGGACACAGCTGGCCTCATTACTGTTATAAGTTGCCCCCTTAATTAATTTTCAGAGAGCACTGCATTAATAATAGAAAGGAATTTATTGAGTAAGCAACAGCAAGCAAAACAGCGCTGGGCGGCCGGGGAGTCTCGGCTCCGTCAACGGCGCGCACCTCACCCCCGCCAGGGTCCCTTTTTATATCTTGGTGATTTCAGGATTACGCAGCACATCCTGGTATATTCTGCGGCTGTGCGCGCTGTTGCTAGGGGGTCGTCTCTGTCCCTCTGGTGGTCGTGAAGATGAAGGCCGTAGTCTTCCTCGGCGTTGTGGTTCAACTTTTTTTTTTATTTGCTCATGTTGGCCCAGCCTGAGACAGGAAGGTAGGATGTTGATACACTAGTTTAGCAACTTATCAGGAGATGGTTACATGAGCTTTGCAGCAGTGTCTTTAAACAAAAGAGACAACTGAGATGCAGAAGGAGAGAAGGGGAGGGGGGTTCTCTTTTTTGTTACATTAAGCAAAAGAATTTTCATAGTGTCTAGCCAAGCATTATACAGCTCCTTACTTCAGCAGGGAGTTTTCACAACTCCCATTCCTCAAACAGAACTCCTTGTTTTTATAATACAAAAGACAATGAACAAACATTTATTGTGTATTACAATTACAAGCTTTCAAAGAAAGAAAAATGTTAGTAACTAGATGAGGAACTTTTCAAATGATTATCAGGCATGTAATGTATCGTCACATTTGCTAAAAGTAAGGGAAATAGATGTTGTAAACATCCTAGAAAAAGAGATGAGGGGGCACATATGCAGTGCACTGCCTAGTCATTTGTATTTTGTCTTTACCTACGTGGCCTCTGTGGGTGAGCCCAGTGGGTGCTCGCAGCTGCAGGCTCTGCCTGTCTCAGCTCCAGCCCTGCAGGTCACATGAAGGCTTCACAAGGTGGGGGAAGAGTGGGTGCTAATGGGATCTGCCTGGAGGCTTGTCTGAACCAGCTAATCCAAAACTGAGCTAACAGCACTTTAAATCAAATCTAAGCCTGGAAAAGAGGAATTGCTTTGAGTGTTAAAGAAAAAAATGACTTTAATAGCAGTGAGAGTGGAAAAAAATATTTTACAGAAATTTGGCAATGGTTCTACCCCCTAAACCTTTCATTTCTCTTTTCCTCGTCTCCTGTGATTCTTAGGCTTAACCTGCTTTAAAACTGAGCTTCAGCAGGCTGGATGCTTTGCTGTTGGAGAGCAGCACGTGCGCACGCACACACACACACACAGACACACAGACACACAGAGACACAGACACACACACAGACACACACACAGACACACACACACACACACAGACACACAGACACACACACACACACACCCTGGGGCCAGCAGCGCCCCTTGTTTGCACCCAGTGGAGACACAAGTGATGTCCTGGCTGCCTTGTTTTTGAGAGGCATATCTCTGGTTGATACCAGGGCAAACAAGTCCCCCTGCTCCCTTCCCAGCATGGTGGTGATGCCATGGAGAGAGGGAAAGGGCAGGCAGGTCGGTGCATATATACGGGTCACAAACCAGGCAAGTGCAGAACTTAACTTTTTCTTAAATTTTGTTTCTTGATCTTCATGGATACCTCACTTGTATATCTGTGGGGCAGGATGGGTGTCTGCTGGCTTGTCTGGCACCAACCAACTTCTTTTCTATATGTTGATAAAGCACATGTCCCAGTCAGTTTTTTCCCTTCCTTTCCCTTTGAGTGTAAGAGGAAGAAGCTTCCAGTTACCTGGGCAGAACTGCCAGCAGGAACAGCCAGAAAGCCTGACCATGATGTAGGTCAGGCAGTGAGACTTTCTTCTGCTTCTGGGAGGGCTGTGGTTTCTTCAGCCTCCAAGAAAAAGAGGTGCTAGGTGACCTAAGACCTGGCTGGATATCTGGCTTGGGCTGCTCAGCCAGGACAGATGGACAGGAACAGGTGGTTACCTTTGGTGTTTGCTGACACAGGACAGACAGACATTTTGTTAAACATCACAACAGGCAGCACAGCTATCCCTCTCTCAGCAGCCTGAAATAAATGTCATATTTCATGGTTTCTTCTCTAGCATTCAGGCACTCATTGTGCTGGGCTCCTCCAGCTCCCACAGGGGTGAGTGCATCTGACAGGACCAGGAAGAAGGGCAGAAAAAAGAAAGGACGGACCGAGGAGCTGATTCCTGTGAGAGACTTACATACCATGTTTTGGTTGCACGCTGCGTTGCAAAGCTGCAGCATGAATGCAGCCAGGAGCACAAGCCGAAGCTCACGGCAGGACTTTCTCAGAGCAAGCTGCCCCCAACAGCCACTTGTGGAGCCATAAAAAAGCCAGTGACGCTTCACACCTGAGCCTGCTGTGCAGGGGAAACAGGGCTTTGTGCATCCTTCGTAAACCCAGCAGGCTGCCTCGCCATTCCTTCTTCTACAGGAGGGCCAGCAGCACTACACTTCTTGCAGATTTTATTCCCAAATTCATTCAAACAAACATAATTGAAGACATTGTATATTCTCTGAGTGTTATATAATTTGCATTTCTGTCTTGATCACTCTTTCTCATTGCAACCAAGTGATGAGCAGAGTTGAGACACCACATCCAGCACAGTGTGGCAGGTTTGATGGCACACGGGTATGTGCCAGCTCTGCGTGTCAGGTCTGCACAGTGGGTTAGTGTCAGTGTGCAGTAGGTGTCTAAAATAAAAGCACTGTTACTGCTACAGTAGTTAAATTTGAATTGTTTCCCCCTTAAGAAGATGTGTCATGTGCCATGAGGTCCAACACCATTTATTTATGCTCCAGAGTTCCCATAGCTTCATGAAACAAGAATTTTATTGAGTTTTTCTTATGCTGGCTATATAACAAACATATATAATGACTGATGGTAATTAAAAGCTATTGAATTCTGGCTCTGCTGCAGCCAGTCAGAACATTTTCTACTCCACAGGCTAGGGTGAAACCAAGCCAGATCAGAGAGGCTATTCATGCTCATAATGGCGCTTTCTCTCTCTCCCTTCTTTCCTAGCTCCCTTCCAGACACAAGATATTTTTAATGAGCGAGAAGGAGTAACTCATTTTGTCCTAACATCACCGAACAATGCAGATTGCAGTGCAAAGAACTGAACAGCAATAGTCTTGCTGCCTCAGTACAGAGTGTAATAAAAGGTAAAGTGATCATGTCCCATAACGATAGCTGTTCCCCATAGGCAGTGAGGTTTTTTTGTTATCATCTCTTTGCACTCTTGTTAGGCAGAAGCAGCCTGGGACTGAACAGAGGGCAAGAGAACAAAGTAGATTGAGACAGACAGCAGCAGAGACTTCCCCTTGGGATTGCCAAGAGCATAATATGGGATCTAGCAAAAGAAACAGTGAAAAACACAGTTTGATTTATTTTTTTTCCTGAAAACCTAATTAATCTCTGAGGGAATCTATCTGTATGGCATTCGATCTGGCTTTCCAGAGTTTTCAGTTCCACCTTCCATCTGTAATAGAAAATATCCCTATCATCAAAAAAAAAAAAAAAAAAAAAATCCCTTTCTTAATTCAACCCTCTTTCACTGACACAATTAAGTACAATTTCCTACTTTTTTATCCACTAACTGTGGATAAAAGTGATGCTGAAGCAAAGCTGGGAGGGTTCCACTTGGGAGCCAAAAGGCTTCACTTTGGAGGAAAATACTTCAATTTGTTGTATTACTACTTTACAGTCCATAGGTTGATGAGATTATGAGTTCCAGTTTAATATTTCTTTAGTGATTATGTCACAGCAGCAGGTATTTATATTTCATCTTATCAATAGGAGAAAAGTAGCAAGCATGCTAAGAAAATATAACATTATTAGAATGATTGCTTGTGGGTGGGAAATGCACATTTGAGGTGATTGCATAGTCACATATCTTCCTGTGTTCTGACATGCTGCACTGACACGCGAGCCCCACAGTGGGGATGGAGATGTCTGGAAGGCAAAAGAAAGCCTGACATCACTTTGTCCCCAAGTGTGTGCACAACAGCAACAGAAAATCTGTTCTAAATGGATAAAAACTCTTTGTATTAATTAAATCAATGCAAATTATGTAATTTAGATGACTGGTGGTTGTAATGGCCTGTACAAAGATATTCTGCCAGCTTAAGTTGAATTGGAAAGGCAATCAACCCTCAGAGCTGGAGAAACAGCTCACAGCTAAGGTTAAAAGCACACAAAAGTAGAAAAATTCTCATTGAATATCTCCAGGCTAACAGCAGGGTGGGGGGAGGAAGGGGAATTGCGGGGGGGGGGGGGGGGAAGTGGGGGGGAGTATTAATTTATTTTTTTTTTTTTCCAAAAGAGGCCTGCTATTGATGTGTCTCCACTTCTGCTTGCCAGCTGCAGGGCCATACTTCTGGCATCTAGTGGCTCAGATCAGTTCACAGCCCCTGATAAACTCGGCTGCAGTGGCAAAAAAGGCTACTCCCTTGTACACCATCCAAATCCATCACCCCAAGATTAAACATACATGATCTGAAGTATCTTGGCCACAAGCTTATTCACAGCATGTCTGCTAACATGCTGACATTGCATTATTGATGCCAGGCTGGAGTTTAAGTCAGGTAAGACAGCTGCAGAGAAGGAGAACCAGCAGCAAAGCACCCAGAAGGAGTTTCTCTTCGCAGCTATTCCTGCACTCCTCTGGGCAAAGTCACACCGGCTGATTTAAGCTGCCAATGACAATGATTAAGCTCTTCCTTTGACTTTGTCCTGAAATAGGCTATGTCCTCCTTTGGGCTATTTATAATACACACAGAGGTATTCCTCTTCTTAATTAGTCTCCTAACAGTGTGAGTCACTCAGTGGATAAGTAGAGCTCATACTGCAGACTACAGGATAAGCAGCTACTCCAGCTCCCATGTTTCTTTACCTTCCCGGCCGTGTACATTGAAGTGCAGACTAAGGGTCTTTTGGAATCACTGTGCCTCTCAGGAGGATGTAACCACCCCTGGGATTTAACACATGGATAGATGGAAGTGAACGGCAATACTTAATAATTTGGCTGAGGTGGGAGATAAGTGGAAAGGGAGAGAGGGGCTGAATGCAACACCAGTGCAGAAGAAAGATCACTACAGTTGGACACTTGCATGGCAGTGAGCAGTCTTTTTATCTTGTCCTGGCAAAGAGGACTCCCACCGTGTTCTGCATTAGGTAGCTGCTGGGGATGAAAAGCTGTGATAAATTATTATGTTATGCCAGAAGAGTTATTACTTCTTTAGGTGCTATCCCCACCACATAGTGTAAGGTACAGAGACAGACCTTGTTCCCTGTGTGACTCAGGGCGGTGACTATGATACCCTGAAGTCTTGTTTGGCTCAAATCTTGTTGATTCAAGGATGTCCGTGGGGCATTTCTCCAGTTCCAATGTCCCAAAACTAAGTTCAGCTGAAGTTGCAGCCTGTATTTAACAGACCATTATACATGGTGAAAAGTCCCCCCCCACTTCACCCCAGAACAGTTTCCGTGGACTGCTGGAATGGGATAAGAAAGACAGTTTAAACACAAGAAATTATATTGCATTCTTTTACATTATCTTACTACAAATTAGATTATCATTTTAATGTTGTTTATTTATTTATTTATTTTGTGCACCAGGTTATAATGTTGGGAAACTATTTTACAACATTGCACACAAATAATAAATCATGCAGCACAGATGTTGCCACTAATTGTAATATATCAAGTGAAGAATAAAACACTCTGCCTGGCTTTTAATTAGGTCTGCTCCAAGCAGAGACAGAAATAAAAATTTACTTGTCTTTTAAGTAAATACCATCTGCAATATATTCCAATTCCACAATCTAGAGCAAAGCATATCTGCTGATTGCTGTGCTATGGCATTATTTTATTTGAGGTGGAAAGCTTGTTGGCAAAGTGAAGGCAAATCAGCTACAACAGTTATGTTGCAGCATAGCTCTGACAGGAGGAATGCCCCCCAGCCTGTTTCAGTCAATGTCTCAGTCAATGTCTCAGACATTTCAGGCCATAGGTGCCCTTGGCCTGACAGCAGGAGTGCTCGAGGAAGGGTCGGAGTGTAACCCTGTATCTGTGTGTCACATGGTGCTTTGGGACAAACACTAAGACTGGCACATAAAGGTCCAAAGAGAGAACTATGTAACAACTGGCTGAACCACACACACTCAAGTTTTTGCATTATTAGAGTGGTGTGACAACAATAAAGGCTGCAGGAAGCAAGTCAAAAGCACTCATTGCCTCTCTAAGCCTAGCACCTCTCAACATGCTGCACAACCAAAGAATTTCCTCCTCTTGAAAAAAAAAAAAAAAAAAAAAAAAAAAAAAAAAAAGAAAAAAAAATGTATATGTAGTGACAAAACCTCTAATATTGTCTAATTTATTTTGCCATTCCCATTTTGTATTTGCAATGCACAAAAATATACCAGTATAAATGCCTAATGCCAAAGGAATCAGGTCGCATTAGTCACTGTTAATTAATGTGCGACTTGCATATATGTTTGCTTCCAGCTGCATGGTTATAACATGTAAAATAAGAGGCTTAGATCCATGTTAGACGATTGCAAGAGTTATTTGAGCCCTGGGACTAGTGGCTGGCAGACGGACATTGTCATCTGGAGGAGCCGAGCCAGCTCCCAGTCACTCATGACATCAGGGCTTCTTGTCACCAGGAGCGTTTAAGCTCAGCCCAAGGAGAAGGGCAGAAAAGCACAACACAACACGAGTAGAAGCTGAAGTGTGTAGGACCTTCTACCTTTCACTGGCTAATTTAAGCCTCTCAGAAAATTCTAGTGCAAAATATTTTATTGTAGCATGCAGCAACTTTGCAGGCTGCTTCCACATTAATGTAATTCTCCCTTGCCCTCACCCTCCAGTTAATTAGAAGGCAATGACACCTTCCTCATTGGATTAGTGTTAGCTGTACTTATCAAAAGTAAAACTGCTGCAAATGAAGATTCCTTACAGGTTTTTGTTGTTGTTTTGTTGCTGTTGTTTTGTGGTTTGTTTGGTTTTTTTTCTACATGTACACCCCCATTTGCAGTGTGACAAGAGACAAAAAAAAAAAAAATTACCTACCAATACTTTTTTTTTTTTTTAAAAAAAAAGGAATTTTATACCTAAACCCTTGTATCCTCTGGTCCTTCCAGACTGATGTTAAAATGCATCCAGAGCCAAAATTCTGAAGCCATACCTGAAGCCACCTTCAGCTGGTGTCAGACTGATGGGCTTTGTGTTCTGGCTTGTGAAGGTCAGACACTTCAGGGAAGAGAGTAGGTGTCATAGTCTCCTCTAGTTGCAGCTGTAGTATTGGTCCATTTCTAAATGAAACAGAATAGAAATCTGTAAATCAAAACAAACAAACAAAAAAAAAAAAAGAAAAACAAAACAACAAAAAACCTGCTTATTTAATCTTTTGTTTTCTTTTCTCCTTACTATTTGTTCCTGGGTAACCAGATGGGTGCATGAAAGGAAATTACTAACTAAAGGGCTTGTTGTGCTCTCACATAGAGTAAATCCGTTTAATCCATTTTAATCGGCTGCCTTTGAAATTTTGGACTCTTACCATGGTTTATCACGGCTCCTATGGGAAGAACAACAAGCAATTACAGCATCTTTCTTCAACACTGTAGTCTGTAGTCCTTCTATTCACCTGAATGACCACAACCATGCTCTGGCAAGCTTAAAAAATAAAAATAAAAATAATAAAAAAAAAAATCCCCAGTCACTTTTCCGGGCTCCTCAGTGTGCCCATGTGCTGCTGCAGGGAAGGTGCAGCCACTTGCCAGCCACCTGCCAGCAGGGAACAGTTCTGGGGGCTGCACCTGCAGCATCTGCAAAGAGACAAAAATGGCAGGGAAGCTGCCCAAACCTGCGCAGTGTAGGAGCATGGGAGTGAAAGGAGACCCAGTATATTGGAGGGAGCTGAGGGCATGATTTGAGCTGGGGAAGGTTGCAATGCTTGGGAGCATGAGTTTGCCCTGTGGCAAGGCTGGGGTGCCAGGGACGTTTTTCCTCCCCTGCTGTCCCCATGTCCAAGACGCATCCTCCACACCAGCCCCCAGATGAGGGGGCCAGCTCGCTCCACCATGGGACCTCAGGACGATCCCTGGTGTCACTTGGCCAACACCAGCTTTTCCTATAGATGAGCCCTCCTGAGGGGCCACGCAGCAACCTGCACACAAAATAATAAGCTTAAAGACACATTCTTTTTAAGAAATCTTGTAGTATTCCAGGTAGCCCTACTTTTCCCATCTTATTAATTTTGCTCTGGTTAAATGAAAGCTGATAAAATAGAAACTGCTGTAAGAGCCAGAGAAAATTAGGTTATATAACCTCTTTTTTATTTATTAACATGATATCAAAGTTGTTTCTTATCATTCTTCAGGTACATTGTGCTCAGGAATAAATTAAACTGTCTATTCAACAAAGAGGAGTATCTTTTTCTCCTGCTAATTTTCTCTCTCCTTCTCAATTCTCACTCTATTTTTCGGGGAAAAAATAACGAGCTTAGCTGGAGCCAGAGAAGCCCTTCCAGCTTTGCGCAGTACCCCCCCTTGTGACTACTTCACATAGTCCAAGTGGTCCATCTATCGGTCTCCGACCGATACGACAAGCAGCAAAGTCAAAAGTACAGTGATGTTTTCCTTTACATAATTATTTGCTGTTGCCAAATGGAGTGACAGCTGAGCCCTTTTTAGGGCAAGATTTGTGCAAAAAACAAAGGCACGTAAATCATTCTCGTGTTTCCCCCTGGCTCCCATTTCTTCCTGCCCTGGGCCCAAGAGCCTGGGGAGCAGCGGTGCAGGCCAGAGTTCTCCTGGTGCCCGTCCTGCTCCCCAGGGCCCTGGGCTCCAGCCTCTGGAGGCTGCAGTAAGGCCGAGGCCAAGCGAGGCCTGCGGGGAGCACGGTGCGGCCTAGAGGTCACATTGCTGCTCCACCTGGGGCCCCGCACCTGGAGCTTTATGAGGGAGAGCACGGTCACCCCTCACCACCTGTGAACAGCTTCAGTGTGAAAAAGAAATAAATAACACACCACTTGTGGTCAGTGGGGCAGATCTAGAAACCCCCTTGTGTTTCTGGGGGTGGCCAGGGCACGGGCAAGGGTGACTTGCCAAAGCTTCCTGGTAGTGGTAACCACTGCAAAATTAGTGTATTATCTACCTCCTCTGGAGTCATTTCATGGCAGCATTTTACCCAGAGGGCAGCAAGGCCTGCAGGCCTCTAGCATCACCCAAGCAGGCACGAGGAAGGGCCTGGGTCACAATGGTTCCTGACAGCACAAGGACACAGTTCTGGCTAACACCAGAGTCTGACAAAGGATGTAAACCCGAGGGAGACAGATGGAGAGTGTGTGCATGCTTTTTTTTCTCTCTCAGGCTCCCTTGAAGGGCAGGACAGCATAAATAGGTCTGTCCCATAACGTTGCACTGCAAATATGGAAGTGTTAAAATAACTAATCAAAACCTGACCCAGCAAAGAGAGATTAGCAATTCCTGAAAGCCACCCAGGTTCATCATGTTAATCTCAATTAGGCAGAAAAGTCTGTACTTATTAAAATAGACAGCTTTCTATTTTATGCATGCAAGGGCAAGAAAGAAGTTAAGTAGATGTGTGGGTAACACTGCTGAGGAAAAGCACAAAGTAAATAGGGGGACAAGAAGCCTTAGTTTTTTTTGTGGTGTTGTTGTTTATTTGTTTGTTTTAAAGGCTGGTGAGACATCAGAACTTCTGAGTAAGCATGACAAGAACCTATCTGTTATTACATGACATGGTGCCTTTCCAGAAAAACAGGGGACAGCAAGAGGTGCCATGAAGGTCTCGCTGACCTGCCACCTCCTGCTTTTCATTCCAGTGTTAAGCTGGAAGAGAGATGGTGTCTAATGTTCAGAGCAGGTAAATGAAAAGCTGCTGAGACACAAGGCATATGGCAAAGGTTCTATAAAATCAAATCAAATTGCTATGGAACAAAAGGGCAAATGGGAGAAAAGCCAGTCATTTCTGATAACTGATGCCTGGAAATTTTACCCACTGTATAACAATAAAATATTATAGGACAGAAACATTTTCAGTCTGTATCCATGGGTGTATATGTGTGCTCCAGTGCATCAGTGTAGCTAGAAATGGCAATAACAGGCAGTGTTATTTTCCTATTATGTTCACCGTGAGCTTGTTGTCCTGCTTCTGCTTCACACCTGCAAGTCTGAAAGTGGCAGTTCCCCAGTTCAGATTTCACCATTGTCTCTGGTAGTTACCATGTTTGTGCTTATATAAAGGCTATAAATGACCAGCTCTTCAATTTAAACCAAAAGTAAAATCAATCCTTTCTTTTCTTTTCTCTGCCCTCCCCCCTCCACTTTTTTTTTTTTTTCCCCAGATGACAGCAAAACCGTGAACACAGGTAGGAAAATAATTGATGCATTCTAAGAAGCTGTCAGGTGTGAGAAATGTTGAAGGCTCAACAACCCAATAATGGTATGAGAAGGTGTTAGACAGCAGATTTATGTAGCAGCACCAACACAGCATAAGATATATATAACAGAAATTAAGATAACACACTTCTGGGGAACTTCTACTTTTTTTTTTCTTTTTCCTTCTGAAAGCAACGCTGTTGCACATGATCTGAAACACAGCAGCTTACGGAGCAATATGGGAGAGGTCCACATAGAAGAGTCCCAATAGCAAGCAAGGACTCTCTGGGCATTTCCACAGTGTTTCCAGGAGTGTAGTTGCAGGTGCCAACAGAAGGACAGAGCTCTCCTTTTTCCCTTCCTCCACATTTCTTTTACTGGCTTATTCGCCCAGATTTAAATTATTTCCCCACTTAAGGAGCTCCAGCCCTGCTGCCTTACGCACCCTCTCCTGCCTATGAACTTGTTTAAATGTCCACACCAGAGGGATTGTCAATGCCTTTATAGATATTACCACCATGTACACAGTTGTCCAGATCTATGACATCCCCGTCATCCCTAAAACATCCAGGTCCCTTCAGCCATGCTGCTTTGCGAATTGAAAGACAAATACCCTCCCCAAATTTGGTCCTAATTGCTTTCCAATATTTGCAGACTTAACCTCGGCTTGAAGAGCCAAGGGTACTTTTCAAAGAAATGTTGCTGATTTCAGTGCCTCTGGAGGACCCGCAGTGATTACCTCTTTCAGTCTCTACATTTCTCAACACCCTGTCCTTTATTTTAAACTGCACAGTATCCTGCCCTGACCAGATTCAGGAAACAGACCATTTTTGCCATCCAACTAAAGTCTCTGCCTGTGTCTGCCATGTTTATCTAATCAATAAAGCACCAATAGAAAAGCAAACTTTTCTAAGGCAGCCTGAGCTTTTTTCTTTTAACCAAAACAAAAACCCTGAAATGCATCAATTTCCCATTAGAACTCAAAGATTTCTAGTATCCTATAATACTGCTTCTGCATTTCACTATTCTGCTGGCATTTTAGACACTTAAAATGAAAAATTAGCTCTCAGAAAGCAGGATCTTCCTGATTAGAAAAACTTGTTGAAACTGTAATGGAAAGATCATAACAACTTCATTAGTCTTCATTAAATAAAATAAATGTTATTTCTATTCCTTTCACATAAAATCATATATTACAACTATTAATATTGCAGAGATGTTTCTTTTGTCCCAGAATTTAATATATAAAACTGCAAACCTCATTGCATGAAAAACAACTTACAATCACCAGAATGACATGCAGTTCATCTTTTTTATGTTCATTAATTTTCTGTAAATAGAACACAGTCGCTTTGCATTGTTTGCACTAAAGGAGAGCTCAGAGCAGTTTACCCTGTTACTACTTATCATTTATTTGGGTAATAATTTTAAAAAGCTTTTAAATTAAAATGATAAAGATAGTTAGAGGGAAAGATACAGCCTTTTGGAATTTTTCAAGTATGATAGACTAACCCAGCAAAAAAAGATGGTTCTCATTCAAGAGATGTGCCAGGGCTGGCTGCACATCTCAAGCAATTTCTCAAGCCCCCTACCACATGCTAGGCATCTTGCCCACATCCATTTTGGCACATAATCGCACAAGTCTCCTGCTCTTGACTCCCGCTGGGGGCTGAGCCTCATTCAGCCAGTCCCTGCTGCCACAGGCTGTGATGAGCGATTCACCACATCCCTGCAACATGGGCTAGCTGCAGCCTCTGCCAGTGAGGGGCTGGTGATACCCCAGCTCCTGCAGCTGAGTCCACTGCAGCCTTTGGCCACACCAAGGCCCTGGGCATCTCTCAGTCCTGCTGGGGCCATAGGAGAAGACAGAGTGGTCAGAGCAGGCACAAAGTATTCATCCTAGAACACTT